GTTAAACACAAGGTGCCAGTAGCTCTGACAGATTTGGCCACCAGCAAGTGTCACAAGGTCAGTAATACAAGGTTTTTTGTCTGGTAGCTGTCGTGTATGATAGTAACCCCTGGGATAAACAGAGCAGAAAGGTGTGTGTTTGCAGCAGAGGGTTGCTCAATCTTCCACTCCTATGAAGTCTTGTGCGTAAACACGCTCCGAGTGTTGTGCGTGCACAACTGTGTAAAAAGCAGGGCCAACAGGGCTGGGGCACCGAGGTGAAGCAAGTGACTGCAATGTGTTTCAAGGGGGGGGCTACTCTAAATAAACGCTTAACTTGTAACTTGACCTATTGGACTTTTTCTTTAGTCATGTCACCATGTTACCAGATTTCATCAACCTCTTAGAAACCAGAATCTTGATAAACTGTTTTCATATAATTTTGAAATCAATTTGTAAAATACATATCCTATCATGACTTTTTGGCATTTATTCTTGTAACCCCCTGCTGTGTGTGAAAACAGTCAGATGCTGATTTACCGTGGAAAAAGGGCAATTATCGACTCTTAGTTTTTGCACCAATTGCCATGTCCCACCTTCAAGAAGAAGTTAAAATATGTAGATACATAAACTGTGTAGAAAATGACATTCCTATTGTGAATAGTGAAAACTGGTCACAGATGTCTGAACATAAAATCGTTACCCACGACAGTGACAACAATAAAATGGGCGATCGCTGGTAGATTTTTGGATCCAATACCAACAGGATGAGAGAAAAACATAACCAGGGGTTTTCATTTGGATGAAGGCAAACAAACAAGACTGTCTGGCCCTCTAGTAGCTGTGTTGAAGACACCTTTAAATAGAAACCACAGCTCCACTGTTGGGAATGCAGTAAAACCTTGTCAAATTGATTTAACCTGGCTGGAATCTGTCACTTTACCATACACAGCTGTTAATACACCCACGCTGTTTCCATGACTCTTTGAAGTATGTTTACTTTCTACACTGATCTGATCGTTTTCAGGAAAAGGCCTCGTGGGAGATAATGAGAACCAAAGAAGGATTTCGCTGCTGCTGAACACGTGCTCTGTAGTTTTCTGCCATGTCCAAGTGAACCAGTAAATTTTACTGGGTATAGCCAGAGAGCGTGTGAGAGAACTTTAAGCAGGAAGGACAAGACCACACGTGACCATCAAGACAAACATAAACACACAGTGATGTTTAGTTAAAGACAAGAATGCGCTGGCTATGTGATACCTATTACATCCTTCCGTCTGTCAAGGTCACCATAGAGGACCATTGTAGCCACATGAATGCACAAACATGTACACATATAGAGTGTATGGGCGTGTGCTCTGCTCTGCCCATCTGTCTCAGGATGCTGACAATTTGGCATGAGATTAAGTGTGTGTGTGTGTGTGTGTGTGTGTGTGTACATGAGCTTGTCCCTATACACACAACACACTGTGTCACATGTTTGTTCTCACCTGCTCTCTGGAGCCCGAGACATTTTTTTAGATCGACATCCATTCAGAGGGATCTTAAGGCAGAAACTGTTCTGTAGATCAGATTTTCAAGTTGGAATTTCATATTTGGAACTTATTTTGGGGTCACGACCTCTGCTTCTTGAAGATCCACACAAAGGCTGTTCCAATAAAAACGTAATGTCAAGACGCCGAGTTCTGAAATGAGGTGATCATGTGACAATAACGTCTTAATGCCTGAAACCGATACAAGAAAAAGATCCCATACCGCTCTCTGTGCCTGTCCAGTTTCCAAGCACTTCTCTCTTACATGATCCATCTGTGGTCACAAGAATATCCTGGGCTCTGTGACCTTTGACCTTTTAAACATCATTCTGGTTGCTCACACTTATCAAGTTACTTGATAACTCTGTAAGTAAGATACAGCGCTGTATAATATAATTTCCTCTTCTTCACTCTGTTATCTTAGTTTTATAATAGAATAAAAACGGAATATTATCAGAACTATGTTGAACTCTCTGACACTGTCATGGACACTGACACAGATCCACATTCGACAACAAACACTGACTGAAAGGATTACTACCCATGCAAGAACTGCCTTTTGTAGTTAGTTGTGACTGTATACACAATTATATAAGTCTACCTGACAGGCATTGTGATATCAACAGCAGTTCTTGTGACACCAGCTGAATTAATTTTCTCAGGGTCACTCACTAGATGATATGTCTTTAATTTGACACTGAAGGCATTACTGTGTAAGTGTAGTTGAAATTTAAGTCTTTCTGGACCTAAACAGTGTTGCAACTTGCGTTACGTTATATAGAATAATCACATCTAATACGATAAACAATAAAGTGAACATATAGTAGACTATGCTAAAAGAAAGAGAATGCTATTTTTGGCTAGATCTCATCAGACGGGCCAAACCCTATAAACGGGTCTGTCGCTGACTGACTGACATGGTTACATGTGATAAGGTTACAACATTGTTTGGCCCACCAAGTGCTGGAGTTGATCGTTGCTCTTTCAAAATGATTTGGCATGAATCAGCAGTGTTGCCAACTTAGTGTCTTTGCACTAAGTGTCTTTAGCAACTTCTTTTCAAAAAGCATCTAGCGATAAATCTAGCAACCTTACCCTTGGATAAAAAGTAGTTAACCTTACCTACTCTCTGTAGAAGAGAGTCGCTAGTATTGCTCTGCGAGTGCGAGGTCAGGCTCTGTTTTAACAGTCCAAGTTGCATTTAGTGCATGTCTATATCCACGTTTGCTAATTTATCAGCAGAAAAATGATTGCTGCGCCAGATGCATGGTTCAAACATATTGTACTTGGTCTCTAAATTAATCTTGAGCATAACATAAACCACTAAGAGTGCAGCTCCCATTCCCTTTAAAAGCACAAAACGCATTAGACATCTTTTATGTCTTATTATAAGAATACTTCTCTGCAGAGTCTCATTTATGTCCAAGAGACATCTGTGACGCATGGCAATGTTATGCAACACACAATATGCCACAAACAATGCTCCGACCTTCTGAGGCTGCATTGTATTGTTCCACCTGACTTATCCCAACATCTGAAGCGCATTTTCAGCTCACTCTGCTTGTTGGTAACGTGTAGAGTTGTATGTGTGCAAGGTGCACCTGCCTACAATACAGCCTTAGAAGGTAGGAGCATTGTTTGTGGCATATTGTGTGTTGCAAACATTGCCATGTGCCATGGATGTCTCTTAGACATAAATGAGACTCTGCAAAGAAGCATTCTCATAATAGACCATAAAAGCTTTATTAGCTACTTTTTAACCAAGGCTAAAGTCGATAGATTTATTGCTAGATGCTTTTTGAAAAGATATGTGAGGTTTAAACTCCAAGTGCAATGACTGTGCACCCTATACATTGCTTGAGTGTTACGGAGTTGTGCACCTTGCTGTCTGCATATCAATTTTACATTTCGAAAAATCCTATAAACAGTCTCATGAATTCATTGCTCTGTTGAACGTGAACATTCTGCAGTCCTCCAAACTCAGCTTGAGCCAGCATTATCTCTGTTTGTATTAGACAGAATTCCCTGGTGTATCTTTCTGATGACATTAATACAGGATAGTTCTGTATCAGCTGCTTCAAGGGCTAGTATTATCCTTCAGAAACAGTCCTGTTTCCATGGTTAAAGAGAGTTGAGAGGACTTTGGCTTTCATGCTAACTGATTCAGAGGATGAGCTGGCAAAGTTATGACAAAGTTTGCTTTTAAAATACCCTCTCTAGAACTCAAAATATTTCGTTTTACTTGTAAATGTAAAAGAAAATCTGGAAATCTACAGAATTATATGCAATTAGATTGTTGTAGATGAGGCTCTGAACAGTAGCCTGTAGCAAAAAGGTGACATAGTTTATATATAGATGATTCTTGTTTTTTTTTTTCACATCAAAGACCCCTAAATCGACACAAATTAGATCATGGTCCCCATCTTAATTGTTTTTTTACAGACAGTATTTGAAACCCACGGCCAAGATAGTCATAAATTCTTTCATTGTGTTGAAATTTCAGTAAAAATAAATGATGCCCCCTTTTTGCTGGGAACCCCCACCCCCTCAAGGACCCCTTGGGGTTCCCCGGACTCCACTTTGAGAACCACTGCTGTAGATCATTGTGTCACACCAAGATGTCCAGTATATCTGTTGTTCTGGTGTTCGGTTCCACGGTGAGGGGCTAGGCAAACCAACTAACACGTCTCCAGGTTAGGAATTGAATTTTCAGAGATAAAACTCATCATGATAGATATTTTAAAGAAAAGAAAGAAGTTGGCAAAGAAGTCAAACAGATTTACAGTGGACAGTCATACAGATGAATCTTAGCCAAGTGACCTCTGTCTATTTTTCATATAGGCTAGACCAGATAGAAGTGTGTCATAAGAAATCAACACCATGACATTTTTCAAAGGCCCCTAATAACATCTTTACAGGTCACTGAAGGATATGAAATTGATATTTTTGTAAAGTGATTAATATCATCAGGTGCACATTTCCACAGACTTGCACCCTGGCCTCTGGTAGCTAAATCTATTTGACATTTACCCCCTGCTGATTTTTGTTTGGTGGTCTACTGTGTGTCTCTGCGTGCGTGTGGCCATGTGACAGGCGGTCCAGAGTTGTCCAGCCTCCTTTTTTCACTCCCTTGCAGTTGCATGGATCGTATTACTGGCTGCTCTCCCCGCACCGCTGAGCCCACCGGCTCTGCGCCAATCACAGCCTGCCTTTACCTACGCGCACATGCATGCACGAACGCACAGACACAGACCCTGACATAAACACACACACACGCGCACGCGCGCGCGCACATACTGGGATCCACTGCTCCGATTCTCCGCAGCTTTCACATGCGTCCCCACCGACTCCGCGTAGCGCTGGCTGCGCCAAGGTGAGCATGGTCGTACCGATACCTTCTGAACGTCTCACCGCCTGACTGACCCAGAGTCGGGGACAGAGAGAGAGAGAGAGAGAGAGAGAGAGAGAGAGAGAGAGAGAAAGAGAGAGAGGGAAAGACCATCTTTCCTCTCTCACAACCCATCTTCCCTTCGCTCGGAGGAGACCGCAGCGCAAGCCGTTTGTTTCGGCATCATTCTTTTCTTTCACCCCCTCTCCTCCTCCTGTTCTCGCTGCACCCCCTCCCCGTTATTGCCGGTCTCCCGGTTTGAAGGAGGAACCGGGGAGCCCGGTCGTGATTTTGTGGAAATACATTTTTGCATTTTTTCTGCTGGGTGTTGGTAGCGCGCAGTTGGTGCGCGCTTCTGCAAATTCCGGTGAATGGTGGATTTGGCAAACATGGAGACCGTGGAGAAGGAATGCGGGGCCCTCGGGGGTCTATTCCAGGCGATTGTCAACGACATGAAGGTAAATAAAAGTCTTTCTATTTTACGTTGCCATGATCATGGATAAACACATGTGCTGCTTCCCTGAGATTAACCCTACAGACCAGTCATAATGGAGCTGGTGTCTCGGGCTGAAGTGTACGTTTAAATGTGTGGATAGGCTGCTAATAAGCTGAGGTTCATTTTGGTTATATGTGACAGATAGCATTGTTTTACTGACAGTGATGCAGCGGCCCGCTGGGTTGTTGGTGCGACCCCCCCCCCCCCCCCCCCCCCCCCCCCCCCCCCACCTTGCATTGCCTGCAAATGCATCCAGATGCATCCATTGTCGGACACACTGAACACTAGATTCATCTCCTTTCCTCCGCAAAAACAGCCACCACACCCGCAAAACTCCCAGTCCACTGTTTTCACTCAGGTTTATTAACGCGTCTGGCAAAATGTTGCGATGATGCGCACATAATGTAGACTGTGGGAATGAATAGCTTCCGTAAGAGCACTGGGGTTACCTATAAAAGCCCTGCATGAGCGGTTGGTGCCAGGAAGTCCATTTATCTCGTTGTGTTTATGGGGCAAATTGAGATCTCAGAGAGGCCTCAAAAAATTGAGATTCGTGTCCGATAATGTACCTATACGTCGGGCAGGCAACAATACCTTTGACACATTCCGTTACATACACGTGTGGCCCTGGGTGGATGACTGCTTGAGATGCTTCATCATCATCATCCTCACCATCACCATCGTCAGTTAAGCCAAAGTCTGTCGACCACTAACCACTGCATATTCACCCTCGCTGTGTCGTTCTCGCCTCTTTTCCGTGGCGACTGTGCGTCTCCATGAGAGTGCAGCGTCATTGATTTTCTGTCAGGCTGATCTGGCAGGAAAACATGAAGGCGTGAGAACCCGCGCAGCCGTCAGACACCCAACCTTCTTGCATCTATGCCTTTTCAGTCCTGTCTGTCTGTCTCTCTGTCTGTCTGTTTTCCTCTACCCGCCTGTCTGTCAGTCAGTGATTCTGCAGCTTGATGGCCACAGCATGGCACCAAACAGCGGCTACCGCCAGGATTCACAGTGGTTCAGTACCCACTGAACTGCTAACTGCTGCTGCTGTAAGATGCCGTGGATGAAAGTGTCCATCAAATGGTTCATGATACAGAAACAGTCTCTGTCAATATGTCTGCCTGCCAGACGCCCATGCAGCTCTGCCTCCCATGCATGATGCATGTCTTCTCTTTGTCCCTAGAGTTTTAAATATTGTTGTTTGCTCATGCCTACATCATTAACGGGGGGTACTGCATGAGATTTCTATAAATCTGTTGTCCATTAGAGATGAAATGTAGACATACATTCTTTTTAAAGATGATGCTTTTACCTTCCACATTTTAGTTCCACTAGTGGGACCCCCCTTGCAGAGGTCACAGCCAATGCTACACTCCTACTGTGCACTGAGGAGAGATTATTGGCTTTCTGTTGTGTTAGTGAGACATGTGGGAGTAGGAGAAAGGGATTCACATAAGTCTGATCCTGGATACTAAGCACATGATACAGAGAACAAAAGACTAGTTCTAATAGTAAATATACTGTAGAATATAGAAATATATAAATTAATTTAATTTCAATATAATAGTTCAGCATTTGCACACTATGCAATTGTTGATTAACTAAATAAAAAATATCTAAAGAGGAATGAACGTTGACTGGAGCATTGTGGGCAATTTAAAGTATTATTCCAGTGATTTACAAGTAAATTTGTGGGACTGATTACAGCAGATTTTTCAAAATAAAGGTAAAAGTTGAAGCAGCAGATGCAGAAATATCCTGAGATGGTGTCCCTAGTGTGGGTCAAGATCTAAAAGCACTGGATCCTACATTTCCCATAATGCATGAGAGCACACGGCTCATTCGTTTGTATTTGGTAAACATGGAGGAGAGTCTGCTGAGAGCTGTGTAATGGGATGCACCCGCTATGCAGATCATAAACCAAGGCGGTTTGGAGGGTTCTGCGCTAATGGGAAATCATTATTCTGCCAAATACAACCATTTTGAGATGATAACAGACCTGTGAAAATGTTCGTCCCTCTGAAAAACCATTCGGGCTGGTTGCATAGCAACATCAGCACCTATGACACAGCATCTGTACTGCTCCTTATTAGAGCTGGAGGATCACAGGATGGTGAGTGAGTGGTACACAGAGGTACTGCGGTACTGCAAGATGTCAAAATCAAATCAGCTCGTTTTTCAAAACGTGTTTGTTGCAGTTCATTTTACTTTTGGGACAGTAAATTACATCTCAAGTGCTTCTCATCAAATGACCCCATAACCTACAATAATGGTCTTAAAGTGGGTTTGTTTTGCATGGAGACACAGCTACAGGCTACAGAGTAACATGGTGTCACATTAGGTGGGTGGGCAATCATATGACAATCTTTTTGAGTAGAACTGTAATCTTGCATCCTATTTCCGCTCTGGTTTTTATTGTGAAAGTCCGGACTGGAAGTTGTGATTTGTATTTCTCTGGCACTTTGGTGCTTGTTTTGGATGTTTGTCTGCTCGCCGCTGTTCTTCACCCACAAGGCTGTTTTCTGCTTACAAATCGTGTCGCACTTTTTGCTTAATTCATATGGAGTATTTGTTTGGACAGCGCATATTTATTTATGAGGTGGTATGTATAAGTATTTTAATTTGAGCTAACCAGGTAGACAAGGCTTGTCCCTCTTCATGTTTTCCTTCCAGCAGGCAGGTCTCTCGTCCTGTGGACAGACAGAGGTTCTTGTTCTCCTCGGGTGGAGAACTGGTACATGTGCCGCTACGCCAAACTCACCTTTTAATGACGCGATCTGTATGATTAATCTCAAAAGTCGATCATATGCCAAAGTAACTTTGCCCGTGATATAAGATCATCAGATCGCCCTGTCACATTGTAGTTTTAGGAAAGCTGTGGTTTCAGCTGAGTCTTTGACGTTTCCAGAAATGGCTGTGAGCATAGTCATGTCCAGGCCTACACGTTTCATGAGCACCGAGGTCAAGGACAATATCAGAAAAACCTCAAGAGTGAGTTTCTAACACTTTGTTAGAAACATTTATCTCTCTTAGGTCTCTGATGTTCAAACACAAACACACAGTACAGAATGAAACAGAGCGATCAGCGTTCAAAGAATACCACTTTAAAGACTTCTCCCCGCTCGTCCTTCTCTTACACTGTCTCTGTATTCATCTATTATTTATCTGGGTTCTAACTGTTTATGTTATCCAGCTCACTCTGAAATATATGGGTCACTACAACCTGGACCAAAAAAAAAAAAAAAAAAAAAGATTGCCCCAGTCTGGAGTGGATGAATTCCTCAGTCCCCAAGGAGGCAATGAATGAATGTCAGTGAGTGGGTGAGAATCACTGTGTCGTCAGCCCTGGAACTCACTCTGACGGGAAACAATGTGGCTTTAATCAGTGTTTCTAGCTCACCAAAGACGAAGCCATTTGTCAGAAGAAAGAAATGGATTAATAATTTTTCTTCATTGGATCTTGGGAACAGGCTGGTTTTGACAGCTGGGTTTATTAAGTGGATGCAGTCAAACAGTCAGTGCAGAGCAGACATCTTGAAAATCCCAATGCATGATTAGTGCACTTCACACTTTCTGTATAGTTTGGCTGCTGTGTATCAATAACACATCCGGGATGTGACTGTTATTAAGTTATCAAATCAATAGTTCGAGATCATTGATACTGTATACTGTGTATACTTTTGTTCTATTTAATTGCAGGAAGTGACCTTGGGATTTCGGAAATTGTGATCTGCATTTTTCACTGTTTTATAGCAATTTACAGACAAAATGTAAATTAATAGACTGAAAAAATAACAGGTTAACTCATATGGAAATAGTTTCAGAGTTTCAGCCCTAAAAGTGAATCAAATCAAATCAAATGGCCTTTGGTAAATAGGGCATATTTAAAGACATGGTTATGGAACCACTCGAAAAACAACACTGACATTCTATGTCAAGTTTATCCTGACATAGAATAAATGTTAACAATCATCTATGTCTTAGCCATTAATATCATACCTTTATTTTGTGGCCTAACTGATTTTAAATCTGAAATATTTCCTGAACATTCAGACGTCTAGAGATGTGCTCTTCTTCTTCCAAACAGCTGACTTCAGTTTCAACAGGAGTTATCAATAAACTCTAAAATCAAGACTGTTTTCTTTTCCTGTACGTGGGAGGCAGGATCAAATTTGCAGCATTTGAAAGTAAAGGATTGTAGAAGCTTTAGCTTTAGTTCCCCTAGTTTGTGGACAACCTCTGTAAACACCATTATACACATTCATGTTTGCTAATGGACCTGGTACTTGGCGCTTTTAGGTGTCATGCGTGCTCATGAGTTCACAGCAAGAGCTAAGCTAAATTTTGCTGTATGCCAGCAGCAGCAGATCCACACTGTGATAGAAAGCACTTTTTCTTCCTCTTTCTCTATCATCTTCCTCTTCCTCATCCTGCTCCTCCTCAGGTCTTCCCTTCCTCTTTCTCTTCGCAGCAGATCCTCCGCCCAAGGCAGCCAGTCACCCCTTGTGTGTCTGTGCAAACTGGCAATGGTCTCTTTTGTGTTGCACAGAAATGCACAAAAATGAAGATGTCTGGTATTTAAAATATACTGTATGTATGAAACCTTTCCATATGCTCATACAGTGTGTGTGTGTGTGTGTGTGTGTGTGTGTGTGTGTGTGTGTGTGTGGCATTATGTAGTTGTCTGCCAATGTGTAGCCCTGGAGGCTATGTCTCGTTACTTTCTAGTGAATTGCACACACAAAGCAACGCGCGCTCACAGGTCACAGAGGGGTAATAGGATGAGACGCAGAGGTCATGTTCACGCTCAGCTGGCTATGGACCAGTGGATACTGGTAATATGTTGTTGACAGCAGCAGGAGGATGGAATAAAGAAGAATATGAATGAAAGAAAAAAGGCTAAAGGAAATCTGAGGCACTACGATTATATAAGTTAAAAATCCTTATAGAAGAACAAAAACA